TCTGTTGAACCGTCGACATCAACTCCATCGAATCCCGCGCATGTCAATAGTGGAAGTACACCTGCTGAGACTACAACAGTAGACACGGCTGCTCCGACTTCAACTAAAGTTAAAGGCGACAACCTCGACCTAGAGAAATGACTGGAGGCAGAGGGTAAGGCTGACTGCTGGAAGGATTTTAAGAAGGTGGTGGTTGACAAGTATCCGATGGGAGAGTGCAGGCATTGTCATACTCAAATCAAACCTCAAACTTCCAAGAACGAGACTTCTGCAATGAATAACCATCGACATTCATGTTTGGATAAGGTGGCACCATCGAGGGATTAGGCTATTTTGAACTTACAGACAGCGGATGATAGTCAAAGTCAAGTAAGTCTTTTATGGAAGTTTGATCAAGAAAAAGCTAGATATGTCTTAGCCATGATGATCATTATGGATGAGTTGTCATTTCGATTTGTGGAGAGGGAAGGGTTTAAGCAGTTCATGTTAGTTGTTCAACCACTGTTTAAGATACATGGGAGGCGAGCTATAAGAGATTATTGCTATCATATCTTCTTGGAGAAAAAGTGCATTTGATTGAGTTTTTTTGAATCAAAGAGGGAAGGCAGAGTTTCAATCAGTCACTACAAAAAAACTGGGTTATAGCGACGGAAATTTGAGCGACGGAAAGGTTTTCGTCGCTAAAAGTGTGGTTTCCGCGACGAAATATTAATTTTCGTCGTTGATTGTCTCTATTTAATTACATAGGCCATTCGATGGATTTGGCGACGAAATTTAAGTTTTAGCGACGAGTCTTTTGTCGCAGAAAGTGTGAAAGATTTCGCGACGACTTAACTTCGTCGCAGACTCAAGATGTATCTAAACGAAGACGTCTGTCTGTTTATATGTACAGTTCGGGCCTGAGTTTGAAACAAATTTTTTTGGGTCAAAGCCTGCTCCAAATGGTGTCGTTTGGGAATTTTTTTGGGACACTCGGCCACTTCAAAACTTCCAAGTCTTCATTGAGCTTTCACCCAAATCAAACCATCGAAGGTACTACAGATACATGTACTTCTGATAACAACAAAAATTACATGTGTGTGGCTGCTCGCTTCAATTGTAGAGAAGCTTGTAGGAGTTCTTGAAGAATGGAAGGTGAAGATTTTGTTCTGCATGACCATGGACAATGCAAATTCAAATAATTTCTCAGTGTGGCATGAGAACGTAGTTAAAGGAGTGGGGGTGTGATTTGATGGATGGGAAGCATCTGCAGTTTCGATGTGTGGCACACATCATTAATCTGGTGGTGCAAGATGGACTGAAAATGATTGGAGGTGATGTGGATAGAGTTCGAGACTGTGTGAAGTGGGTGAAGTCATCACCAACTAGATTGACAAGGTTCAAGAATGCCATGAAATTTTTGAATGTGGATTCAACCAAATTGGTGTTTTTGGATGTACCGACCAGGTGGAACTCCACCTATATCATATTAGAGTCAGCAAAAAGGTTTGATGGAGTGTTTTCAACTTTGTATTCAAGTATACACGATCATTCCTTTAGAGATTATATTGACTCAAGAGGTGGTCTTCCAACTGAACAAGATTGGCAGCTGATTAGGAAGTTGATGAAGTATCTGAAAGTTTTCAATGAGTTGATCTCCTAGTCTCGGGTAGGTAGAATTTGATTTGCATTCTTTGTTTTTATTACTCTAATTTTCTGTGTTCTCTTCTCATTGTACATGAACTATATATGTGACTACCTATCTCTTCTTCAAGAAGTTTGTTCCAATTTATGACATCATTGAAGAATTGAAGAATGATCTACATGAACATATCCAAAGGATGGCCGAAAAGGTTGAGGAAAAGGTACAAAAGTATTGGTTTGAGACACCTTTATGAATGAGGAGAACATGAAGGTGATTCACTTAATCTACAGGGCTAATACCACTAGGAAACCCCAACTATTAACTTTGTGTCATTTGTGTCCTAAAGAATCCGATATGACATTTGTGTCCCAAACTATTTTCTGTTATGGTTGACTGGCGTTGACCGTTAATTTTTAACAGAAACTTATAGTCAGCGCTGATGTGGCATTTGACGTGGAATTTATAATATCAATTTATAATAATTTTCCATATAAATGAATAAACTAAAACAAAAACAAAATTACAACAAAAAAAATCTCCTCCCAGCTCCCAACTTCTTCCTCTTCTCTCGTCCTCAACTCCATCTGCCATCCAAATCTTCTTCTCTAGTCCCCCAACTCCAACTCCATCCTTCCCCTCCATTAGCACCAAACCCTTTCCTCTCCATCTTCTTCTTTCCCGCTGTGTCTTCCCTCGATAACCCCTCTTCTTCCCAAATAAACACTGCACTCCTCGGCAATAACTCTGTCGCCGCGCCTCCACTACTGCCGACGAGAGCGGTGATGAGGAGATGGCAATAGCGGCAGTGAGAGCGGATCTGCTATGATTGGGTAGAGAGCAGTTTCACAGACTACAGAGGAGCCCGAACGTCGGGGGAGAGGGAGGATTTCGATAACTGGTCATTCTTTTGCAGGATTTTGGTGTCAGGACGATGACGACGGCGGAAGACACCAGCGAATCTGCAGAGGGAGAAGCATGAGGATCAGGCGCGAAGCAATTGAGGTAAGCTGGTGGGTTTGAAAATGGCGAGGGAGCTATTGCTAACGGAGCCGCTGGCAGATCTAGATTGAGGTTGCCGATCTGGGTTGCTCGATTCTTCCATTATTCCTCCGTCACCACCAATACGCTGGACTCTAGAAGTAAACTTGATCTGGTGTCCGAGTTTTTGGAAATGATTTATGGTCGTGTGAAGTAAACTTGATCTGGTGTCCGAGTTTTTGGAAATGATTTATGGTCGTGTGAAGGGAGGAGAAATTGAGAGTTCCATTAAATCATAGATGCGTAAGATGTTTGAGGTTTGTAAAGGACAGTATGGATAAAAAAACCCTCCTCTGCATATGAGCCTACCACTGATGAGAGCAGTGTTGGTGGTAGTTCTGCTGAAGGTGTTGGTGATAAGATTAAGAAACTTGAGGAGAGGCTCAAGAAGAGGAAAAGTGAACAGGAAACAAGAGGTAGCTCTACTGAGCTTGGCATCTATTTGAAATGTCAAACTGATGGCACCAATGAGGAGAGTGATGATGCCAAGTTTGACATCTTGGGTTGGTGGTCTCGACACTCTGAAATATATATGATTCTTGCTGAGATGGCTAAGGATATCTTAGTTGTTCCCATCTCTTCTATTGCCTCAGAGGCAACATTCAGCTGTGGCGGCCGGATTCTTAGTCCTTTCAGGTCCTCTTTGAGCGATACAATGGTGGAGGCATTGATTTGTGCTAAGGAATGGATAAGGTATCCAACTACCGAATCCAGAGAGATTGACGAGAAGGAAGATGATGAAGATAATTTGGATTTGGAAAGCGCTGAGTTCTAAAACTCTCTTAAATACTTGTTGTTCAGGTTTTCACTATTTCTTTTCATCTAATTTCAATATATGAATGTCCAAACATTTTGTTTCCTTTTTTCTTACTCAGTTAATGCCACTTTCTAGTCTAGAATGAAAAGTGCAAGTGATACTGACAATGTTGCCAATACAGATGCAAGTCTCAACATTCCAGTGGAGAATGAGCAGGAGGATGAAGAAGTAGTGTCAGAGGAAGAGTATGAGAAAGATGGATATGACGATTATGGTCATGACTTCTTTGGTCGATTGAAAGAATAGGGTTATGCAGATGTTGGTTCTTCTCCTGCTGTTGATAAGTGATGATGATGTGTTGTTGACTTGTTGTTGCTGTTTGAAGGATCTATTGTGATTTGTGAATTGTGGAGTTTATGACTTTATGTTGTTGAATTAATGAATTTGAGACATCAATTTGTTGATTTAGATGTATTTTTATGCAAAAACGAATTGAGATTTTACTTTCGGTGATTTAGATATAGAAATGTAGGTTTGAGCCTTTAATTTTAGGCAGGTTTACTGTTTTATTACTGGTTCCGATCGGTTACCGGTCAGTTTTCTTGTCAAAACCGAACCGACAATCAACATTCCGGTTACCACGGCTAACCAAACCAAAAACTGATAACCGACTAGTCGGTGTTGGTTAGCCGTGGCGTCCCTCAATGTCGGCGGACGACAGCATAAGAGGTGACTCGATTTAAGCGATAACCGAGTTTTTGATTTTCGGTTAAACTGAAACCGACCGAGCACCACCCTACCCACATGTATGCCGTGGCGAAGTGACATTTTGCCCATCCCCGCAAGAACTCTAAGGAGCTAAAAGTTGGTCGTTCATCTCTCCGCCTGTTTGGGTGACTCGAGATAACCCGATGTGTTGTCTTCCACAATTAGTACCAGACCTTTTTCTTCCTTTTTTACATTGTTTCTCTTCATCAGTCTCTATCCGGCATTCTGCAACAACGATTTAGGACTCCTATGAGGCTATAGACTTCCTTACAATATCCTACTGTTGCTCTATCTTCATTCACAAGAGCTGCAGCACAGATCCTGATTTAAGCACTAATCACAGACCTCAAAGCAAAGCATAGACAACGAATAAAGATAAAGCAAACTGAAAAATGACACCACAAATAGATGAACACATGAGAGACAGCCACTATGAATGCTCCACCCAGGTAAACAACCAAAATCCTAGTACAAGCATACTGCATTGCCAGAGTCTAACAGGAGAGAGGCAGCAAGGAGCATAGATCTTTTATTACGCAAATAATTCTGCATCACCCATTCTTCCTTTAGATTGTAACAAGTCATTTCGATACATGAAAAATTCTCTCACAATGTAAAGATGATGAGCGCAAGTGCACCTCTCGTGTCTTGAGCAGTGTTAGGTCCATGTTTGCACTCCAAGTTTGAATATCACCCGCCAAAATTTTTTATTATTGCCTCTCACATTCAGATACGCAGTCCCTACCAAAGATTCCGAACTAAAGTCTTACAGAAATGAACTAGCACCCGATATGCCTATTGAGAGGTTCCCATTTAAAGAGGACCGGGGAAGGTACCATTCTCCCTCTGCTCATTCCATCTATCAACCTGTGACATCCATCAAAATGCCACAAAATTAGCTTCAACACCGATGTATGTAGATAATCATTGTTAACCAACAAATTTGAAAGATCGAAACATGCGTAGACAATGTTATGCCACTACCCAGTGATAACTAGATCAAGGTACCAACTGGGATTATAAGCTCAAGAGAATTAAGTCTCTGTTTCAACTTTGTTGTTCTGCCAATTATGCCTACTTATTTACTAAAATAGACTCAGCCTTCCAACTGCAACAGCCTAACATTCAGTGGGCTACTCCAATCAACAGCAGAGCTCTTTCAGTAATCACTATCCTAACTAGATAACACTCCTTCCAGATAAAGATTCTCAGAGTTCGCATCAACCATGAAACTAAGCATCATAGTTATTGGGAAGTGAAAGTTCTTAAGAGTCACATACCCATTCGCTGGGGCAAAGTGAACGGTAATATTTCGCAAACTTCTGGCAGTCCTGAGCGTCTTCTCCTTTAGCAGCCACGCATCTTAAACATATTGCAAAAATTTCAATGACAAGACAAGCACCAGCGGGAGTTAAATACGCCATTTTAGGAATTAATAAGCAACATCTGAAGCTCAAGAACCACACATAGAATTCCCCTTACCGATGGTACTCAATATAACGGGTAAAGCAGTGTCTTGTTTGGTTTGTGGTGGGAAAACGGAAATCCGCCGGTGCAGTCTCAAGCTGTTAATAGCGTAACCAGACACGCGAGACAGACAAAGATGTAAGAGAACAATCATATTTCATGAAATTATTTCATCGATGAAAAGAATGGTGATAGTACGGTCAAACCTTTATTTCAGGAGCCTCATCAGCAACTTCTTCCGTTCCGGAGTTCAGTTCAGATGAAGCAGGAGGAACATCTTCAGAGGTGGTTTCTGCAGCAGCAGTAATATTTTCAGTAGATTCTTCTGTAGCAGCAGGGGTATCTTCCGTTTTACCCTCTGTGACAGCGTCTGTTATTTCAACCGCTTTCTCAATGACGGCTTCACCTATCTCTACAGCTTTCTCTGCAACAGATTCCTCAGAAACAGCAGGAGCAGGAGCTGATTCTTCTTTAACTTCCACAGGCTTGGCATCAACAACTGGCTTCTCCACTTTCTCCTTCAACAAGTATTGCTGCATCTCAATGTGCAGAGAGAGTCAAACTGATATTATATGGTAAAGCAAGCACTACATCACATATATATCAACTGAAAACACGTAAGCTGTTACAATTCTTCGCACGAAAGAGAGAAGGAGCACTTAAGTTGCTTGAAAGGTGTCTTTATAGGCCCACTCTGTAACTTAGAATAAACATAGAATTCCAACTCAAGTATTCCGTATGCATAACTTTAGGTAGATGTTCTTTAGTCAAATAACACAAAGAGTGTGTAGTGTAGCCTAAACTAGTTCAACGAAGATCAGTGACAACAGAGGAAAAATCAGGCAGAATCCTTTCATTAATGATGGTACGAAGTCATTTCCTCACTACACGAAATAAAACTAATAAGCTTCAGCAAAGAATCGGAATCCAAGATTTCTTTTCAAGCATACTAACTCAACTATTGCTTAGTGGCTGGATACAGTCATTTCTCTGTAATCTTCTCACTTACAGACTAAGAAACCGAGGCATATGTATTATACAATCAGTGTCAGATGTTCTTTATCTCTAACAGCAACATTTCTATACCAACAGAATTTAGTCCATCCATCCAAACTCTAAAGCGTTGCTCAACTTGATCGGTAATTTCTAAACGCCAAAATACAGTCCCTGGAAAGTAAACTTAACAAGCATGAGCCTATTCTAACAGAGCTTCCAATCAGTCTATCAAAACACTCAAGAAGGTATAACAAGAAACCAGTCAATGCATCAAAAAGCGAGAAGATTTTTCCTTAGAACAGGACAATCATCAATCTCAACTACCGTAGCTAAAGATTGAAGCAACATTCCTTCACCTAGAGCTGCTGCGTTCAACTAAATCCTACATTTTTATAGAACACAAAGACGTTCCTTGAGAAGCATGAGCCTACAGGAACGAATCCCACAATCAGCCATTTGATAACACCGCCAGAACCGATAAGCCTCTCAAGATGTCACAATAAGACACCAACCGATGTATCAAAGACTTCGATCTCCTTCATAGAAAATCTTCGACGAGCCGGTACGTTTTTGGAACCATTGGAAACGGAAATCGGAAACGCTTTAGACGGAAATACAGGAATGGAAGATCAAAGCGCCGAGCAGACACCAGAGCAACGATAAACCACAGGAATAGAAGGTCGACAGATCGAAACTGGTACGAGCCCAGGACGATTCCAATAGACAGAAAATCGAGAGCAAGAATAAACGAGGCGGAGAGGCTGAGAAAGTGATGAGGGAGTTACCTCGGAGAGAGAGAGAGGAGTGGTGGTTGCAGCTTCCGCCATTGTCACAGGAGAAGGAACTGATCTGGTTTTCTGGTGTCCGTGCTTTCCAGGAAGGGCGGCCTATCGGGAGACGCGATGGAGGAAACTGGAGAAGAGAGTGGTTGGTTAGTGAATACTACTATGGTTGGGTTAAGAGTAAAAGTGTTAAGACGAGAGCTGACAGTTTTGTTACCGGCGACTGTAGCGATAGCCAGGCATGAGGAATGTCTATGTCCGATTTCTCATCCTCTAAATCCAGACTCTATCTAGGGGTACTGGGTAGTGTACATCCGTTAAAAATCGGTAAAATATCAATATGATTTTATGGCTGGAAGTTGTATTGTTTAGAATAGATAGTTTTTTTTCCTTAGCGAAAACAATACATGGATGGTTTCTGTGATGTGACAGAAACCATCACTCAATAAGAGTGATTGTTATATCTCAGCTTTTAGTTGTGATTGTTGAGTTGGCATTGTTGTGTCTCAGCTTTAGGTGATATGACATACACAATCACACATACCAAATGTTGTATTTTACAATACATCAATTTAACAATCACAACTTCCAAACGACCCGTGTCGTAGAGTTTACAAACATAACTCTACATTACTAGATTTGGGGTTGTTTGTTGGTCGGATGCATTTCATAAATAGAATAAACAACAATAATTATTTGTGTTATATGTTTTTATTTTATAATATAAATGAATCCAAATTATTCAATTACCAAAAAAATCAAAATTGGTTATTGAAAGTGAAATATTAAGCCTATTCAAGATAACCAACTGTTAAAAATCATAATCTAATCACACTTCAGTTTACTTCTCACTGATAAATCCTGAAGATAAACCACATGGTTTCCACTCAAATTAGCATCTGAATCACCACTAAAGTAATAATCCGCAAGACCTTGGCAGTAGTGAGTGTCGTCGCAACTTTCACCGTTCCACATCATCACTCCACAATATTCACATTTATATGAGTGATCTCCAATATCAAAATCTTCAACAATGACAATAAAATTCGAATTTGACAAATACATTTTATATAAATTCTAACATCAAAATAAATGAAGAAATCTCAAATATGATAAATAAAATGGAAAGTCTTCGTGATGCATCACTCGAAGACGATTATAACCATTTTCGGTAAGTTTGATAGACCTTAACAATCTATTTCTCTTGATTTGTAAATGATTATCATTTTAAAGTCGTGTATAGTAATCAATAAAGTAACCAATTTTATTTGCCAACTCGGAATTTGATAACATATAAATAAAAAAACACAAATGAATTAAATGGATATGGAGTAGAAATGTTCATAATTTTCCATATATATGTTTTTGCTTTATATAAAGGGCACCATTTCTTCTTGCTAATTTTGTTAATGGATGATCGATTCTCATCAAGTGGAGTAATAGTTTTGCAATATTGAGCAATGTAAAATAGTTAGAGAGATTATAAACAATTGATAAATTAGTGATGTTCATAGCATTAGAAAAATTATTTTGCACTTCGCATAGAGAATAATCAGAATTAACCACACCTTCTGATGGTATAAAGAATACTTTTTTTTCTCTAAATCACATGTGGCATGGACACATTAAATTATAAGATGTATATATCTATGCTAATAAAATTATATGTACTTACATTCAATTTTTGATGATCGAATTGAAGAACTATTTGGTTGTTTACATGATTTTATATGGGAAAAAATATTTCTTCTAGTCATAGAAATGAAAAAATTGCAGTCGCCAAAAATAAGTAATGTAAATTAACTTTAGTTTAAATAATATATAGCAAAATACTTGATGATGGAGGGTTTCTAACATAAACATAAAAAGCTTAATTAATTACTTATATTTGGTTTACGAGAAATTCTTGGGTGGTCCGGTATCACCACCTTATTTATCTTTGTGGTGCTCCAAACCAATCTAATGTTGCCATGTGTAATGTAATTAATTTATTTTTAATGTATTTTCCTCTCTCCTTACTAATCTTCTTTCTCCTAAAACCTTCCATCTTCATCCTTCTGTGTTCTGTACAGAGGGAAAAATGGGAACATGATCGATTCAATCCTTTCAAGTCATTGTCAATAGTTAACACGTCTTAATAACTACCTCATCCTAGATCAAGTTTAACCTAAAGTGGTCTTGTTGTGTAGTGGCAATCAAGGTCGTATTCACTCGGGTCTTGGTACCCTAGCCTACTTCCCTCGCTGTTGTTATCTAGCCGATCGGTTTAAGGATTTGTGATGGAGGATTCAAGCGAAATAACTAGTAGAGAGAACAAATAAGGATAAAAGCAGGTACTTCGGGGAACTATATCTCACCCTAGCCTAGGTCTACTAGGCTATATCTAGATAAATAGGGTTTGTCGAATGTGGTGAGTGAGCTCTTTTCCGTGGCCTTTCATGGTTATCCACACGCCTTCGAGTACGCCTCCCCTAAACCCATGTCAGTCACCTCGATCTAGGCTATCGTATCTGGGGCATTAAGAACATAACATATTTCAATGGTACTACCCACCGTCCACACCGAGGTTTTATCCCGGATTCTATCTAGGAAGGAATTCCTATAGCAGGGGTACAGTCGCCTCGTCCACCATAGGATCCTATTCATACATCTAACCTCTAATAGCTATTATCCGTCTAATTCTAAAACTCCATCCCCACCGAAGAAGCTCAAGTACGCTAGTAGAGAAGATTAGGAACACTTACCCAAACACAATCGAAGATAAAGAAATAATGAAATCAACTAGATAAACACATTCATTCATTAAAAATCTAAAATATCCATTCATTACATATTAACCCTAGAACTAGGGTTTGGGTTTAGAACCCCCAGTATCTTAGAGGACTAGTCCATAAAGGAGGGAAGAAGATACATAGAAGAAATTGGGGAAGCCTTGATGTTGAGGAAGATGGCTCATCCTCTCCTTCCTTCAGCTTCTCTCTCTTCTTCATCTCTCTAAACATAAATTCTCTCTCAAAATCATCTCTCATGAATAGGAGAAGGGATTCTTCTATTTATAGCCTTCATAGGACGAAGAAGTTTGCGGCTAGGCAACATAAAGATCGCGGTCGCGATTTTCTTCCTCTAGGTCGTGATATGTCGATGTTGCCGTTTTGGCCTTCATGCATGAGGAGTTCGCGGTCTGACTACATGGTCTAGATCCGTGAAGAGCGAACGTGAACTTCCTTTCTGTTTCTCCTCGCTAGCTTCTTCACGAAGTTCGCGCCCTCAGCCTCCAAGATCTCAGCCGCAATCTTTGCCTTGAGTTTGTCGTCTTTGTTCTCGACCGTGATCTCCATCTCTAGGCCGCGATCATCAACATTCTTCCCCTTTTCCTACACTCGTGTCCTTTTTCATACTTAATTCGCATGTTTTGTCTAAAGCACTCTAAAATCACAGCATAATCAAATAGGAACGAAATAGGGATGCAATCGACGCTATTCAAACGATTATGCACATGAATTAGCACAAAATAAACCTAAGCATGAAGGGTAAATAATACCAGTTTAGGTGTTATCAAACTCCCCCACACTTAGGCATTTGCTTGTCCCCAAGTAAACCTACTCAAACCAATGCAACTTGATAAACAAATCAAGGTGGGATTCACTCTAGTTCTTCATTGCATAAAGAAGAGTAGACGGAAACGAGAAACACTACTATCATCTTATTGTAAACGCACAAAATCTCGGGTGAGGATCATACTTACTACCTTAGACCGAACATTCAAGGTGTGCACCGAGGGACTTCTCAATCATCAAATAAGCACAAGAACTCTTGAGGGTGCTCTTTATTCTTTCTTTCGATTGAGGGTGCTCTACATTGCACCAATATTTGCAAGTTTTCTAGCAAGCAAGCATCTCTCCCTCATGACCAAGAGCGGATAGATCATGGCCTTCCCTTTCAAGGTCACATGCGGGGAAGTTGATGGGCAGATTCGTCTTAGCCGGCGCACCACTTCCCAGCCTGCACTACACATTGGGTTGCGACACATGTTGGGTACAAACGACAGCTTTGAGATCTCATGAATCGCTAAAAAGTACTTTGTACCTTGGCATACAATTCCGTGAGGAGGAAAGATGTTTGGGGTATGGTAAGTAGTAAGAGATGGTAGGGACGCGGTAAAGCTATCTGATCCCCAAACATATCCTCAAAGGGCACTCTGGACCTTGAGGGTCAGTTGCCTCTCCCGTGAGAACCTTTTTTAGAAGATTTTTAGTTAAAAAATGATAGAGAATCCCGCACACATGTTCTTCATAAAATAGCAGACATTACCAACTCATCAAAGAGGAAGAAGAGAGTAAAATCCCTCATACACCGGTACTCAATCATGCAACTATTCCCTAGCGAGCACAACACATCAATCATCTATCAATTCAAAGCATATCAAGCAGTGGATTGCATGGAACATGGAGTTTTGGAACCCTCAAATTTGGGGGGAAAAATTGGGTAATGCATTCAAGGTTCCAAAACACTATCATTTGGCCAACCAACACCACAAACACACACACAATCGCTAGCATACACTCCCATAAGCATTCATCAACGTCTTACATTCATAAACAAGGGAGGATACTAGCAATCCATGCCTCGATCAATCATGAAAATCATTCGAGCATTCACACACATCCCCCTACAGTTGAGCAACACATTGTCCTCAATGTGGGAGTTTCAAAAGAGCAGATCATGAAGTTACCATAGGTTGGGTTGGTGAAGGTACACAAGTGTATGTCTTTGTCTTCCTGGTGGTTTTCACAATGATAAAGCGCATAAGAAAGAGAGGAAGATGATTGAGTGTTAGGTACGATAAATAGATAATATAAGTACGATTACTACTAGTACTAGAATATTTAAAGTACGAAAATTAAAACGAAAGTAACAATAATGAAACAATGTTTAAAAGTAAAAGAAATAAAAGCAAAGAAAAGATAGAACTTAGGCCCTGGATGCATAGTACTCAATCCTTCTTGGAGGGTCCTTCTTCTTGAAATGGTGCAAGGGGAGGGGAG